GATTGAATTGTTAAAAATGAGATATCCAAAAAAGATTGAATTGTGAAAAATGAGATATCAAAAAATTGCACACGACCATCAGCAATTTCAAAGATGCATTATGTAAGTTTTAGATAAAGGACTGGTCGTTCTTGCTATAGTGCATTTTACATAGTGCATTTTTTATATAAGTACTAGCAGGATACCCGGCTTCGCTCGGGGATCATAACTCCGAAACTGGAAGTGGTAGACTAACGCCACCTGGCCTATGTTACTCCTCGGTCCGAGCTACCTCTATACCCCAAAATTCAGACTCGGGGCAGACCTAGTGTAGCCGCCAACCCCGAACAGACCGGCTTCGCTCGGGGGTCATAACTCCGAAACCGGAAGTGGTAGACTAACGCCACCTGGCCTATGTTACTCCCCGGTCCGAGCTACCGCTATACCCCAAATTTCAGACTCGGGGCAGACCTAGTGTAGCCGCCAACCCCGAACAGACAGACAGACAGACAAACAAACGACAGTCACAAATATATATATAGATTATAGCAACAACGACCAGTCCTTTATCAAAACCTTATATAATGCATCTTTAATATAAGTATCATAGCAACAACGACCAGTCCTTTATCTAAATCTTACATAGTGCATCTTTAACATAACTATTTTAGCAACAACGACCAGTCCTTTATCAAAATCTTACATAATGTATCTTTAATATAACTCAGACTCCGAAGTAAAACAGATAGAGTTATATCTGAGTGTGATGACGGACGACATCTGGCGTGTGTCATTTTACGTGATACAATGATCGTGATATTCCCTGTGTCTGCGATCAACTACAATAATTATAAAGATGGTGGCTCTCTGATTAAACCAGATTGATTGAAGAGACGAATGGCTTCCCCGCATGCTTATCACCAACTTCCGATCAAATAACGATTAATATGTATTACCTCTGGTTCAATTAATCATTTCTGCTGATTTTACTTAAGAGAGAGAGAGAGAGAGAGAGAGATGGGGTTTAACGTCTACTCAACACATTTGAGACAAACATATGGTTCAATTTTATTTCAATAATTCGCTTCCCAATAGGGGTCTTTAGCCGTAGAGGAAACCAGAGGACCCGGAGAAAACCCACGAGGTTACTAATACCACCAGAGATTAGTGGTCAGAAATAAAAAGCCTGACTGACATGGTCATAATGATACAATAAACAAGACGACAATAACAACCAGGCCACCTGTCACCTTTATATCAGATCGTAAAATACAATAAACTACAACAAACCAACTAATATCAATATAACTCATACTTTCTATTGTATTATTATACAGAACTGGAGCATAACACCCACTCAACACAAACAAAATAAAATCGTGTTAACGTCCTACTCCAACACCACTCATGTTGGAAATTTTTTAAGAGCTAACCATTCTTGCTATAATATACTAATGTCCAAAAGAAAGTATACACTGTACATTTCGTGCTGCATCAACCAAAGTCGTTTCCATTGTATGCAGCATTTGGGTACTATGTCAACCTGTTTCGCTTTTTTATTTTCCTTTTTAATGTTGAGTTTGGATGCATGAGACAAACTCAGTAATGTTTTATCAAATGTTTTTAATCTAAACAAAACTTAGTCATATTTTTAGTGTGTATACTTTCTTTTGGACATTTAGTATAGTTCAAAAACAGATAATGAAAATTGAAAAGTTCAGTCCAATTACTTTATTCTGTATAAATTGAAGTGTTTGAAGTTTTGATCAAATGTAGCGTAGATAGTTTATTATCATAGCAACGGTACTTGATAATCCAGACTCAATCTCGATTATCTGGGGGGGGGGGTATCGTTAACACCTTAAAAGGTGATCATGTTCTAATCTATATAAAATCTCGGCCGTCTGATAATGTAGAGAGGTGATTATGGACTTACATGTATGTGAATAAATGTCTAAATAATTTGTATATATTTAAATCCATTACAAGAGAGAGAGAGACAGAGAGAGAGAGAGAGAGAGAGAGAGCAGCCAAGGTGGACATAAGCCCCACTTTACAAACTACAATATTATTCATGTTGAATCTCTAAAAGGGGGAGAGAGAGAAGGGGGGTTTAACATCCACTCGACACAAAGAAGATCATTTCGGGACTAACAAATAGTTCAATTTTATTTCAATAATTCGCTTGTGCGTAGGAGTCTTTAGCAGTGGGAGGAAACTGGAGGACCTGAAGAAAACCCACGAGGTTGGACAGGCGACCCTACTCTTTGTCACGTACAAAAGTCCAATATAAAGATGTGCAATAGGCTGATATAGTTGTTATATAATGTATATTATACCCTGGAGATACTCAGATCAATTACTGATAAATATAAACAGATCAACGATAATAATATAATCATTACTTTCATCAAATCTAAATAAATAAAAATATAATACTGGTTACAGGTTTATTAACAATGCAAGTAAAGATCCATTATAGCGATAAAGTGTCATAGTGATAAAGTGTCATAGCGATAAACCGCTTTAACAGTAAAGCACTATGGCTATAATTTAAAGCATCATAGCGATAAATTAAAGCATCATAGCGATAAATTAAAGCATCATAGCGATAAATTAAAGCTAAATTAAAGCATCATAGCGATAAATTAAAGCATCATAGCGATAAAGTAAAGCGATAAATTAAAGCATCATAGCGATAAATTAAAGCATCATAGCGATAAAGTAAAGATCCATAGTTAGTGATGGTCCGATACTCTATTTAAATATCGATAAATGGCCGATAAGTGGCCTAATCAAAGAAATCGGTATCGACCAATACACGGCCATCTTGCCGATATTTGGGTTACCGATATCTGTTCAAAACGACTCGGTAATAACATTCTAAAATATTATCCGAGTTGTGAACAAATCATTATTTTGCTTGGCACACGGTGCATCTAAATAGCCATGCACACGTGCGCATTGCTATTTAGACGTACCGGTAATACAAGACTCTCATAGGGGATGTAAACAGGAAAGAATAAACAGTAAAAAAACTCTTACCGGTCTCCGTCATATAAATAGTCACGCACACGGCCACCAAAATAAAAGTTTTATTATCTAAAACTGACTGGTCATTATGCCTGGTCATATAGAACTCTGTAGACAGGAGCATGATCACGAACAGTCTAAATGTTGGACATAAATGTCTACTTCTATAAAATATTAATAACCTACCTTCATTCTGCCCTTACTCTACAAGACCAACTCCCAACAATATAATTCTCTTCTCGGATTATTTTCAGGCCCCCCTACTCGGGCCTAGAAGAACCTTCGGATAATCTAGGGTTCCTACTTGATTATATTATCAGCGTACAGGAATTACTGTCAACACTGTACATTACGCCTGTCTTGACCATGAAACAATTAAATCCCCAGAAAAATCTCTTTTCACTAATTTTATTTTTGAAATGTCAAGCTATTTTCAGGATCCTCTGAGTCTGAGGCATACTTGAATTCTTCTTACATGAGTTTAGCCAATGTAGGCCTGTCTTGAAATGTATATTTTAACAAATCTAGAAGTTTAAAATCCCAATACTTCCAAGGAAGACTACACAAACGGAATAATCCTAAAAGTTGGTGTAGATATTAAACTTTAGTTTAATCATGGAAAGAGAACTGTCTGTTCAAGGAAGACTGAACACTTATGAGCACACCTGAAGACACCTGAGTTTCTAGAAGAAACACAAACAATGGGTGTAGATTTTAAACTTTCATTTAATCACAGAAAGAGGATTTAATCCATCCAAGGAAGATTGAATACAATCTGAGTTTCTAGAACACTGGATGTTGTTAGTAGATGTTAATCAAGAACTAGAACTCAGTGAGTCCAAGGAAGACTGAGAACAATCTCAGTTTCTACAACACTTGATGTTTTCAGTAGATGTTAATCAAGAACTAGAACCCAGTGAGTCCAAGGAAGGCTGAATACAATCTGAGTATCACTAATTAATCAATCCTAGTTGTGTTTATTTATTCATTAATTAGATGAGAGTTGATAATGTTGTCAAGTTGGAACTCAGATAATCTCAACAGGTTACATCAACATGGTGAGAGGTTTAAATGTATCTCAGGCTCCCTGTCTTTCGCTGGTTAAACTCAGATCATCTCAATAGGTTACATCATCATGGTGAGAGGTTTTATAAGTGTATCTCAGGCTCCCTGTCTTTCGCTGAGCTGAGCTTACCATATGAAGTCATCCAGAACAGGTTTTATAAAATTAGTGAATGTTGGAAGAAGTGCTTTTACCTTTAAAGTCTTTGATTATATTCCAGGTATTTTAAATATATTGTATTCAAACTGTAGGAGTGATGGGGGCTATTTTTCTCAGGCATCAAGGGGCATCTATTTTAAGTTTAAAACATAATCGGAGCCATAGTCATGCAAAAAAAAAGCAACGTTAAATTAAATCAAGCTGATAGTACGGGACTCCATGAAAAGGTGGAAGTAGTTCTGATTATCCTGACGAACACCTGTATTATTCAGGACAAAATCACAACAAAACTATAAGTAACCGTGTCCTATTGAATTCCATCCCACGCCAGATTGGACGGATTAACATGAAGTCAATATTATTATATTAAAGTCGTTATAGAAAAGCGTTACGGTAATAAAATCAATGTGTGCTGTATGTTATTCTCAAATACAAAATGTAGATTTATTTCTTTGTTGTATGTCAAATTCTATTTACACTTTTTCAATTACAAACAACCATTTCGCCGAAGCGATGACATTTAGTTTTTTGCTCTGATCTATCAAAAGAATATCATGACATTACATTCTCTTGAAGCAGTCATGCATCCCATAAGTTTAAAACTGTTAAAGATGCAAGAGCTTCATGTAAATCTGACTATTTAAGTCTTATGACAAGTCCATCGGTTGGCCTAGATTTTAAATGAATTAGAACACCCCCGACATCTAAAAATTTAACGATAAAATAGATTAATCAAGACTTCGTTGCTACCATAATAAACAATCTA